CCCAAAACGATGCTGGGGAAAGATCTCACAGAACTCAAGTCATTGCCATGTTACAGTATTAATTCCTTAGGCTCACAGTGACAGCAATGTGAGGAGGGTGTTTTTGTCCCACTTTCTCACCTCCCTCCCTTTAGCTCCCCCTCTGGTCCACCTGCAGCCTTTGCCTTGGTGCTGGGCTGGGCCTCCTGGCCTCAGGGGCACTGCTCTGTCTCCTTTACCTGGTGTGGTGGGAGCTGAGCGGCCTCTGGGAACAGCCATCCAGTGAGGCTGAGGGGAGGCTTGAGGAGCCCCTTCCTCCACGGCCTACCCCACAAACTGCCGTTGTCCCCCAGAGAGACCTCTGGCTCCCCCACAGTTCATGATCCCCGTGGGTGGGAGATGAGGAGATGGGTTGCTCCTGAAGCCAAACCGTTTGGTTGTGGGGTTGGACAGAGCAGAGGAAAAGCAAGGGCATCCAGTGGAGAGAGAACTCTGCTCCCGAGGCTCCAGGTCTGCTTTGCTCTGATTTCATGCTGTTTCATTCATTTTCACGATCAAGGAGGGAGAGCTCTCCTGGAGGCCCGTTGGGCAAGGTGTGCCCAGCTGCAGAGGAGCACAGAACAGGACCTCCCGTCCAGGGCCCGCTCTCCCTTAGGGCCAGTGGCTGATAGGAGAGGGAGTTCCAAGTCTCTTCTTGGGGGGTCTCAGGGATATGCCTCAGGAGGAGCCTATAGGAGAATTGGAGAGTGGAGTTATCCCCCTGCTCCTGTCTCTCTTGCCAGACCCCAGGCTCCCTCATGGCTCCTCCCAGAACCACAACAAGCCAGGCAGACGACACTTACTGGCCTTGGGTGTAGGACAGCTGAGATGACTTCTCTGGGGAGAGTTCTAAGAGTCGGGGGGCCAGGGAGGGAGCCCCCTTCCCAGTCGCTGGATGTGGCTGTTCTCCACGTCCTCTAGCCAGTCTGACTGCCATTCCCACAGGGGCAGGGAGAGGGTGGGGGTCAGGAAGAGGTCATCCCGGGGGGAGGGAGGTGATGAGGCACCTGTGGGGGGTAGAGATATCTGTGGAGGGTTGACCTTCACCCCTGGGAACCAGTTTAGGGCAGAAAGGTTGGGGCCAACTTAAGGCATACACCCAACCCTAAACATAATCTAACCCCAACTTGGTCCATCAGTCTCAGTGGCCCCAGCCCTGGGGACAGGAAGACAGTCCGTTAGTTTCTGTAGAGAGAATGTCTCTAACCAGCCTTTTGCCCACACTCACACCTGTCTCTTATACACATCTAGATGTGTATAAGAGACAGCCCTTCCCGTGGTTCGCGGGGCTGCGGCCTCAGTAAGGGTGGGGCAGTCGAAGANNGTATGGGAACTTCTGCCCTGGATGATCCTTGTTCTCTCGTGCACCACAAGCTTGGGGATGTAGGATAGAGTTAGTGTTCATGAGATGGGTAGAGGGGATCTGATACAGCGGGTGAGGCAGGGACACCAAAGGGGCACAGGGAGCCCTGACTCCCTCTGTGGCCATGGAGATAATGGTCCACCCTGCTACCCATGTGAAGGGTGAGCCCAGCTGCTCCTCCCACAGCCACAGCCACAGGCAAGGCAAGAAGAAGGGCTTGGAAGTGTGGCAGAGGTGAAAGAGGCTGGGGGGCCACTTTCCTGGACACCCCCGTCTGGGTGAGAGGGGCATCCTGGAGGTAGGGAACTGGATCGCAGTTGGCTGCCTCCAGGCTTCAGACTTGAGCCATCTGTCCTTGTTCTCATGGGTGACCTTGGGCAAGTTAATAAACCTGTTTCGCCCAGCTGTTGTGGCTCAGTGGTTGAGCACCGGCCCATGAACCAGGGGTCACAGTTCCATTCCAGGTCAGGGCCCCTGCCTGTGCCTGTGTTTTGGCTCGATCCCCAGTAGGGGGCGTGCAGGAGGCAGATGACCAGTGACTCTCTCATCATTGATGTTTCACTCTCTCTCTCTCCTTTCCTCTCCCTGAAATCAGTAAAGACATATTTATAAAAATAAAAATAAAATAAATAAACCTGTCTGACTTAGTGTCCTCATTTGGGAAAGAATAAAGAACATTCCTCCCAGAGGTGCTGTTACTGGATGTATGTAAAGTGCTTATCATAGAGCCTGGGGCGCAGTAATCATCTAATAAACTGGCTGTTTTAAGGACAGTGGCGCAGACCAGGATTAGGAAGCTTTGCCTCTTGGTTGGGGAGAAGGGGTCTTGCAGGAGCCATGCCCACTCCAAGGAGGGGAGGGGGGAACGTACCCGTGAAGACGCAGTCTGCCTCCCTGGGCTCCAGACCGAAGCCGAGGCTGTCCACGGCCACTGCCAGGGCCCGAGCGAAGTGGGCATCGGCGAGGAAGGAGCCGTCGGAGGAGCTGACCAGGCTGGCTCTGGCACTGGGGGCGTTGTCCTCGGAGGCTGAGCCCCAGCCATTGGCCAAGGAGCCCTCGCTGGGGGTGGGCGTGAGGCAGGGCCGGGGTGGGCACAACAAGCTCCCCGCCTCGGGCCCTACCCCGCCTCCAGGCCTGCCCATGTCTGCCAGCTCTGAAGCGGTGGGGACGCTGATGTACCCGTAGGTGCTGGGGGGTGAAGGAGCCCTTGGCGTGGGAGAGACACCGTTCCTAGGAAGAGGGAGCACGATGGTTGCCAGGGGTTAAGCCAAACGCTCCGCTCGAGGAGGGGTGGAAGGAGGCGGGGACCAGCATGCTCTAAGCCTTCGGCTTTCACTTGGGCTACTCACCTGGGGGTCTCCTCACCCTCGCTGAGCTCCAGGCACAGGGCCACCTCCTCAGGAGTCAGCACACTGTCCTGATCCTCCCCCAGGGATGACAGTGAAGAGCTGGACAGGCGACTGGAGGTTGGGCTGGGGCCCGAGAGGGAGGAGGCCTGGCGGCTGGAGTGGCTGGAGTGGCTGGAGGTACCCGAGGGGGTGAAGGTGGGAATGGGGGCTGCTGACAGTGGGAGGGAGGAGGGAGCTTGGGGCTCCACTGGGTGCCTGACGGGGTAAGACAGAGATGGCAGGGTGGTTAGTCCCTGCTCACCATCCCCCAGCCCCGTCCCAGCTCAGCTAACAGCCCTCACCTCCCCCAAGCCCCCCGCCCTGCTTTTTGACCCCATGCCCTCTTACTGGGTCTGCTGGTTCTGAGTGGGAGCTTCATGAGCAGGGAGTGGTGCTGGTGGGAGAGGGCAAGCGAGCTCATGGGAGGAGCTGAGGAGCTGCGGTCCCAGGGCCCGCCAGGCAACCAGAGTTCGGGGCACGGCGCCTGGGGAGCAATAGCCTGGGCATGAGCATGGCAGAACCCCCTCAGCCCCAACCTGGCCTGCCCCCCAGCCCCCCTCCCTGCCTCACTTCCTCTCACCGGGGCTTTGGGAGAGGTTCTTGGAGCCTTTATTCCCCAGCTCCCAGGCCCAGAGCTCCACAGGGCGGCTGGCCCGGAGCAGCGGGGAGCTGTTGGCCTGGTGCAGCTCTGCAAAGGAAATGTCCATAGTTGGGGGACAAGCCAGGGTGGGCTTTTCAGACCCCAACTGTAGGTTCCAGCTTCAGCCTTGTCATCCAATTACACTTCAGGGCCCCTGAACTCAGAGAAAAGAGGAAAGAACCTCTCTCCATTGTCTCCTCCCCCTTCCAGCCTTCAGCCAGGCAGCTGTAATAGGGTAGAAAGAGCACTAGGCTTGGGGTCAAAAAATGGGCTCTCGTCGATTGCCCAGCTGAGCCATACGTAGCTGTGTGACCTCTGGTAAATCCATTAACCTTTCTGAGCCTCAGTTTCATTTGTAAACCCCACTTCAAATGATGGTTTTTCCAATTAAATAAAAACAGATCAGAAAGTTCCTGGCACCTAATAGCTTTCTTTTCCCTTACGGTATACATTCCCATCTTCCTGCTCTCTGTATCTTCACATGGTTGCTCTTCTCAGTAATTTTGGCTCTTTGATGACATGTGCTCCTTCTTTCCTTGGAGAGAGTCTGTTAATTTCCATTTTTTGCATTGTGAAAATCTCACATGGTTCTGGCTAGCCCTGCCCTGAGAAACTCGAGTGCCTCTCACCTGGGAAATGGGTTGGACTGTCAAATTGTGCTGAATGGAGACAAAACCAAGTAACCCTAGACCAGGCCAGGTGTGACGGGAAGAGGAACTCTAGAGTAGGAAGATGTGTTGGTCTCACCCAAAGAGGCGATGCCCTGCCCATAGAGTCAGTATTTGTCGACTAAATGAGTGACTGATGGATGCTATTAGAGATGTAGGTGTAAACAAGTACATACGTGATTCTCATAGGTGAATCACACTTAGAGACAAGGCTGAGTGAACTCCAACAATAGAGAAGCTGAGGTAACTGCAAGAACAGACCCAGCCATGGACAATGTTTCCTGATCAGGCCAGAAACCAAGTGGATCTAAGTAAACCAGAGAGGAAACTGGGTAATAGAAATACAAGATAATAGATTATCTCAAGACCAGGAACCAGGGCAAAGGAGGAAAGAAACAGCCTTCAGATTAGTGTCCCATGATCAGAGGCCCAGACCAAAGGCTAGGAGGGACCTTCAAGGTAGAGCTGTCTAGTCGATCTAATTTCAAGGACCTGGGGGGCACCATGGGCAGTTCAGAGCAGGGACAAGACTAACACCCCATCTGGGCCCTGGGAATCCATGTACAGTGGCCAGATCTTCTAAGCCACTGGGATGAAAACCCACACAATGGCTGGACTGCTTCCATCGAAGTTTGCTTTTGTACTTTGCCTGGTTTGGTTTTTGTACATTTCCTTTAGTTGTCTGACCTAGGGAGGCCAACATCAGGTGCTCCAACTCTGCCATCATCAGCTTTATCTTATCTAGCGCCTGGCTTCCTAAGTTTAGAAATGGGGACACATGTTGGTTGGTTGGTTGATGGTATGGAAAGGGAGGGGAAAAGGTCAATCCTGGAAAAGGCTGTATTCTCACCCTTTTTTATCTCCTCTAAAGGATTCTGGTAATAAAAAGCTTCCTCCCGCCTTGCTTGGAATTACTTGGATTTTAATTTTAGTGTTATTTGGATAAACTCTACAATAAAAATGTTATCAAGGTTAAGCCAAATCTCATTGGCCATATCTGAATTGCAACAAATATTTGTTTGAATTAATGAGACTACTCAGTGTATGTATCTAGCAAAGCACTTGGAACTAAGAACCCAATATAATGGATAGGACACGGGAGAGTGCAGTTGTGATAATATCCATTATGGAGAAAATGCCCAGCTAAGGTCAAATAGAAAAAGGAATGTCGGTTAAGGGGAGTAGGGGCACCGAGAGAGCCTGCCAGTTTCAGAAAATGAAGAAGCATCAGTCTTGGACTAGGTGACAGCAGGAGAGCCAAAGCCACGGCTCTGGGCAAGATCAGAGCATGATGTTGCTGGAGCTGCTGAGGCCCTGGGAGCCAGAGGTGGGCCAAGTCTCCACCAGTCCACAGGGGTCATTGTGGTCAACCCATCCTGGGGCAGTTGTGGGGTGGGGCTGGGATGAAGAGAGACACGGGTGAAGTGAGGGTCTAAACTCCTGAGGGAGGTCAGGAAGCCTCATCTCAGAATTGGACCCTTTCTTAAGAATCGACTGCAGAAAACTATTCACCCTTTCCCAGTAGTGTTAATATTCTAAGAGGGGCTATAGGCTCTATTCAAAGCCATGTAGTTCACCATAGGGAAGCTGGTTTTTAAATGAGATTCATGCAACCTCTTTTTAGTTGGTACTTTAGTAGCACTGAGAACTTCTAATGCAATAGCTTGGAGGCAAAGCTGGAAAAAATGCCAGCTTCACTAATATTTAGAGTCATAAAATTTTGCATATTGGACAAGCTCTTAATACTCAGAATCCATATTTGTCTTAATAAAAATTTGATTATAAACTTTAGAAAACTTTGGCTGTTGAACATTGTAGATCTTGCTAATCGGTATAGAAGGCTCATGAAGGCAGTAGGTAGAGTACAGGCCAATGTTCAGAGATGGGAGGAAAAAGTCAGAAAGAGGATAGGATTTCCCAAGGATGTCCCCAGAGAGGTTCACAGTAGCGCTTGGGAGCAGACCACTCTGACTTCAGATCTGAGTTCAGCTTATTGACATGGGATTTTGAACAAGTTGCCCAATTCTATTCCTCTTTCCCTGTCTGTAAAATTAGAGAAATAATCAACCAAGTCAACGTGTTGCGAGGATTAAATAAAATAAATATAAGTAAAGCATCTAACATAGTGGTTGTTAAAGAAACAGAGACTAATTATTTCTCTCTGGAAAGTCAAAGCAGGCTGCTGGAAGTCAGGAGAAATTCGGCGGGGAGGAAATACTCCCCTGGGAAGCTGGCTGGGAGTTGTGCCTCGGCAGGCCCGCATGTGGAGCACAGGGGGCTGTTCACCGGAGCTGGAGGCTTTGGGCCAGCACTGATCACATTCTGCCAGGCTCTGGAATGACTAGTGTGCCTGTCAGGCACTTTCATTAGGCTTTGAGCCCTTAGAGGGCAAGGACTGAGTCTGGTCTCTCTTGGGTCCTAGCGCTTATTAAATACTTGTTGAGCTGAGTTGACTGCAGAAGCAGCTCTCACTACTGGTGTGGCCAAACCAAAACATGAGCCGAGGCCGGCATGCCCCTAGCTGAGTGCTTTGCTGACGGGCATCCACGAGGACAGGAGAATGGAAGCTGTGGGTGGGGTGCTCCCCTTACCTGTCTTCAAGACCCCAGGCCACATTCTGGCCACATGCCCACTCCTGGTCCCTCCCTGCTCCAGGCTGGGTCTGTCTTCCCCACCCTTACCTTGCTTCTTTTTGGCCTTCCAAGCCTCTGCGGGGGCCACGGAAAAGCGTGGGCAAGAGAGCCCCCTGCGGCTGCAGAGGCTGTCTGAGCTGGGCCAGGGGCTGGAGAGCCGGGCCCGCTGGGGTCGGAGGTGCCTGATAGCTGGGGTCCGGGGGCTTGGCCGGACCGGGGGGCTGGAAGGCTCAGTGATGAGGGAGCCGTAGAAAGTGCTGGTGTCTGGAAGCAGGGGCACACCAGGGCTGCGGGGATCCCAGGAGATCACTGCAGTCAAAAACAAGAGGAATGATGGTGAACTCATCCTGCCCCATGTCTCTGTCCAGCCCTGGGATCTCTGTTTCAAAGCTAGGCCCTGCCCACCCTGGGCATGCTCACAGGAGCAACGGGGGTCTAGTGGGTCCCGGGGGTCCACTCCCAGCCGGCTGCTAAGACTGCTGCTGCTGCTCAGGTCCCGGGAGCCAGAGGTGGATCGCCAAGTGTCTGCCAGCCAGGGGGAGTCGCTGTGGTCCATCCTGGGGCAAGGAAGTGGGGTGGGGGGTAAGGGCAGGAGAAACAGTGAAGTGAGAACCAGAGGGTAGCTGAAAGGGTGGAGCAGATGGTGATATAGGCTTTATTTTGCCTACATTTAAGCCCTTCAGCCTCCTTAAAATCTCTGATCTGATGCCTCCAACTCAGTGCCCTTTCTTATCCTGGGATCAGAGGAAGTCTAGGTTGCCCAGGGCTAGGAGACACAGCTGTGTGCTAAGACAGAAAGAGCTTATATCTGGAGCCAGACAAACCCAGTTTGAAAATGCCCGTCAGCCACAGCCCAGCTGTACACCCCTGGGAGTAAGTCTGCCAGCCTCTCGAAGCCCCAGTTTCTGTGGAAGTAACAGCTTCCATATGAGGCCGATGCTGTGAGCTGGATGGAGGAAACGTTAGGCCACACGCTGGCAGAACAGGGGCCTGCTACCAGACTGTTGGCCTCTCTGCCTCTAGGCTGGTTCCCCTTGAACTGGAGGTGGGGGGACGGGAAGGGGCATGCTGGCTGCCCGTGATCTTTCAACAACAGGGATCAGACCAAAGCACTTCTCTGCCTGCAAGAGAGAGCCCAGCTGCCTAGCGTGGCTAACAGGGCCCTCATTGGTCTGGCTTCCAGCTCCCTAATCTTATCCTTTGCTCTGACCCATCTTACACGCAATGCCCCAGCCAGTCCTTTCCCTGTGAACAGTGCGGCTATTTCTGGCTGCCCTCTTTGGCCTTCTTCTGTCAGGGTAAATGTGGAAACTTCCTCCCGTATTTCCCTGCCCTAATCTCCTCCATGTATCTTGTACATGTTTTTGTCTTCCAACTCTGGGCTGTGTTCGTACACTAGCATGGATATCTCTGTCTAGACTGATGGAGATGGAGACTGTTCTAAAGGAATGAATGAGTCTCCCTTGAGGACAGGAATAAAGTCTTGGGGGGGGGGG